TCACCTCCGGGGCAGGCGGGAATCGAACTCATGCGGAAGTGGCTTTAGCTTCTCAGTGCAGTGCTTTAACCCGCTGCGCCACCATTGAGGGCCTACCAGTATTTTTTTTTAATGAAGGAAAATATCTAATGGTATATTTGAAAAGTACATAAAAGCCTTACAAAATAAATATGTCTATTTCACCTATGTATTTATAATATGTATGAGACCCTCCTTATAATTAGTTTTCTTGTCACATTTTATATAAATGGCTGATGTTAGTATCTCTTGTCATAAAAACAAAGCCTTTTCAGGGAAAGAATGTGTTATTGTCTATTCACTACCCTCCAGTTACCAGCACGAAAGTTGTCTTTCAGAAGTAGTGCTTATGTATTCTTTCACAATGACTTTGTTGGTTCCTAAACTATATCTGCCTGATCTGCTGTCCAAAAGGCATTTTCCCCCTTTTCTCCAAATAGGAATTCCTTTAAAAAAAGATCAGGTTTTCTCAGATGATGTGAGTTTGAACAGTCTTAGTTGTTGATAAAATAGGCAACCAACCAGTCTATAAAGCTTTTCTTTCATCTGTACCAGACACTGAGTAGCGAGGGCTGCTGTCTAACCCAGGCCATTCAATGTCTAGCCCTCGTCTTCGGCTTGGCCCTATCGTGAGACTGTTCTCTGTGTAGTAATTTTGGAAAGAACTTGGTTAATGGCCTTTAACTTTTTCAATTACAAAAACTGTTAACTGGTTGGACCTTCTTGGTAGTACAACAGTTAAAGTCTCAGCACCATAAGCTAGCCACTGTGGCATGAATTCCATTCTTGGCAATGGAGCTGACCCACATGGCACGAGATACCTCTCCTCTCTCCCTTCCTGCTCTCCTCAGCAGTGTATTTCAATAGATCTGCCTGTTCTGCTCCCTGCTCTGTTTCTGGTGAACCCCCCCCCCCTACTTCTAGCTTATACCCCATTTCTTCTATGCATAAATCTTTTTTTTTTAAAGATTTATTTATTTATTCATACAGAACTGGGGTACAGGCCAGAGATGCGGAGGGTGAGAGGATTCACCAGAGACAGAGCAGGGAGCAGAACAGGCAGATCCATGAAGTACACTGCTGAGGGGAGCGGCGGGCAGGTCAGGCGAGGTCTGCCACGCCATGTGGTCACCTCTGGTGCAGGCAGGAATCGGACTCATGCAGAAGTAGCTTTAGCTTCTTAGTGCTGTGCTTTTAACCTGCTGCGCCACCAGGGAGGGCCTATGCATAAATCTTTAAAAAACAGCAAAAAAAATTAATTTGTTAATTATCAAAAATTGTCTTCCGGTTGAAATTTTTTTTTTCGAATTTATTTATTTATGCATATAGAACTAGAGTACAAACTAGAGGTACAGGGGCTTTGAGAGAATCCACCAGAGACAGAGTGAGGAGCAAAACAGGCAGATTGACAAAGTACACTGCTGAGGAGAGCAGTGGGCAAGAAAAGAGAGATCTGCCACACCATGTGGGTCACTTTGCTGGCTGGGGATTGAACTGCAGGCAGCTGTGGCCAGCTTCTTAGTGTGCCCCAATCCATTGTGCCATCAGGAAGTGCCCTGAAGTTATTTTTTAATGTCTTAAATTTTTTAAAAGTCTTCGAGGGCCGCCCTGGTGGTGCAAGGGGTTAAGTTTCTGTACTGTCAATTTATCTGCAGCCACTTGCAACAGGAGTCAGATCCCCAGCCAGGGAGGTGACCCACATGCCCCAGCATACCTCTCCTTTCTCACCCGCTGCTCCCCTCAGCAATGTATTTCAGTTAGTCTACCTGTCCTGCTCCTTAGTCTGTCTCTGGTGAATCTTTTCATCCTCCCACCCATACTTCTGCCTTATTTAAAAAATTTTAAAAAGTCTTTAACAAGAGGAAAATCAAAAAGAATTAGAATTTTTTAGATATCCTATTTTTATCTTATTTTATAAAGATTTACTTTATTTATGCAAACAAGATCTGGGGTATCAGCCAAAGATGTGGGGCTGGGGTTGGTTAAGTGGATTCACCAGAGACAAAGTGGGACGAACAGATTGACTGAAATACACTGCTGAGGGGAGCAGCAAGCGAGACAGGAGAGGTCTGCTGTGTCTTGTAGATTAGCTTTCTGGCTGGGGATTGAACTTATACTGCATTGGCTGCTGATAGCTTCATTGGGCTGAGACTTAACCCCTTGTACTACCATTGAAGCCCAGATACCTTAATTTAGATGTGTAGGTTGTGGTCTATGTAAGGCAGGGACAATTTATTTCCTGTCTTTATGTCTGGACCTCAGAAGTTTTCTGTTACTTTTCATTTCAGACCCATCCAAATGTGGATAAAAAACTTTTCACTGCAGAATCTCTGATTGGCTTAAAAAATCCAGAGAAGTCATTTCCAGTCAACAGTGACGTAGGGGTGCTAAAGTGGAGACTACAAACCACAGAGGAATCTTTTATTCCACTGACAAGTAAGTGCTTTTGCCCAGTTCCACTAAGCTAGTCCATGTTGAGAAGTAGAAATAGCCTTGGCTTATACACATTTATCTTCATGCCATAACAAATTTCTTTTTTTATAATAATGACCTTTCAAAATGGACTAGGAGTGCATTTTGTGTTTTAATCATTAGGTTTAATGTTTTAATAGCTTTAATTTGAACGTTAATTTTTAGTAGTTTATAGTAGACTGTTCAAGGTCCGCACTTGTCATCTTTGATTACCATCTTAACTTTCCTCTGTCTTTTCTGATGTTCTGATAAGCCTGCTTTGCTTTTCTTTTCAGTTAATTGCTGGCCTTCAGAGAGTGGAAATGGCTGTGATGTCAACATAGAATATGAACTACAAGAAGACAATTTAGAGCTGAATGATGTGATTATCACCATCCCACTTCCGTAAGTGATGTCCCATATAGCATCTTTTTTTTTTCTTTACTAGGTATATAGAACTAGTCTTTTGGAATTCAATTTGTAGTCAGCCCTTACCTCACTGTCCATTCTATGCTATTTGCTTCTTTAAAAAGCCAGTTGTGAAGTCATGTATAAAAGGCTATCTGCTGCATATTCCACTTAATGACATTTTGAAAAAGTTAAGGTGCTTAGAACAGAAGCCAGGAAGAAGGCATTTGACTATAAAGGAACTTTTGGGTTTGTTGAAAGTGTTCTGATTTGACTGTGATAATGTTTACAACAGTACATAAATTTGTCAGTTATTGGAGCTGTATACTTCAAAAGGAATGAATAAGTGAATTTTTCTTACTTTAAACCCAAAACAACAAGGGCCTCCCTGGTGGTCTCAGCATTATGAAGCTATCAGCCACCATTGCAGCCTGAGCTCAATCCCTGGCCAGGGAGTTGACCCATATGGTGCAGTAGGCCTCTCTTGTCTCTCCTGTTTTTTCAGCAGGCTGTTTCGTCAATGTGCCTGTTCTGCTCCCCACGCTCCCCACTCTGTCTCTGGTGGATCCTCTCACTGCCCCACACCTCTGGTCCTGCAACACCCCAGCTCTTATATGTATAAGTAAATAAAATAAATCTTTAAAACAAAACAAAAGCCAGTTTTCACTCTAAGAGCTGTTTTCAGGTGTTTGTCCTCAGTTTGTTCATGTAATAGTGTAGATTTCCAGAAGGAGGAGCTACTTCCCAGTCAAACTTTCTCTGATTTGTTTTGTAACTCTAAAAGAAATTGGGGTTTTCAGACTGAATTTTTCTTTTTCGCTTTGCTTTCTGAATTTTCAGATAACTAGCATGTTTTCATGGTAGCTTATTAATTCTTATTGAAACAAGATATTTGTATTAATTTCAGTAAATTTTCTATCAGCTTTGTTAAGGTTTAATAAATGTAGTAAACTATACATTCTTAAATTGTACAGTTTGGTAAGTTTTGACATATATGTACTTGTGAAGCCATTATCATAATTAAGATTATGCAAATGTCCATTATCCCCCAGAATTTACCTTCAGTATGGTTTTTTTTTTCTTTTTTAAGAGATTAATTGTGCATACAGAACTGAACTGGGGTACAAGCCAGAGGTGCAGGGGTGGTGAGGGGCTTCACCAGAGACAGAGTGGGGAGCAGAACAGGCAGACTGACGAAGTACACTGCTGAGGGGAGCAGCGGGCGGGTCAGGAGAGGTCTGCTGCGCCATGTGGTCACCTCCGGTGCAGGTGGGGTTCGAACTCATGCTGAAGTTGCTTTAGCTTCCTAGTGCTGTGCTTTAACCTGCTGTGCCATCAGGGAGAGCCCTTCAATATGTTTTTGTTGTCTGTTTAAATTATCTACTTTGTAGTATTGTTTGTAAATACTTTTTACCTTCAGTTTATCTCCATAGTAGCATTTCCAGAAAGTGTGCACTAGTCTTACTTCACCAGTAATTCCCAGCTCTTTGATACCTCTCGATATCTTCTCCCCATGATTAAGTAAATTAATTATAAATAACCAGTAAATGTATGGTTATTTTACTATTATATTACCCAGTTTTTTTTTTAAAGATTTATTTATTCATGCATTCAGAAACCAGGGTACAGGCCAGAGATGTGGGAACTCACCAGAGACAAAGAGTATGGAGCAGAACAGGCAGGTGGGCTGAGGAGAGCAGCAGGCAGGACGGGAGAGGTCTGCTGCACCATGTGGGTTATCTCCCTAGCTGGGGATGGAACTCGTGTAGCAGTGGCCGAGGATAGCTTCATAGTGCTCTGTTTTAACCCCTTGCACCACCAGGGATGCCCCAGTTGTTATTTTTATAGAGAACATAGTACTAATTTAATTTGTGGGGCTTTTTTAAATCCCCTTTTGATAATTTAGGCATTCATTTGACCAGGTCTGGTTTTAAACATTCTTGTTACTGTTTTTTAAAAGAGATTCTATTACCAGTAAGATGGTATAAACCAAACCATATTCACAGCTTCTTCATTCCTCTAGAACAATAGGTGGCTGCCTTGAACTGTTGTAGGCTTTGGGTGTGGTGACAGATGTGGGTTTTGTTTTGTCAAGATTTATTTTACTTGGCTATTTTTAGTTTGCCGCAATTTTTGGGCCTCTCCATCTACCCTATAATTGTGGTTATGGTGGTTTCCTGTGTCTTAGCTCAATTTTGCAATAGTCTCTAGAAAAGACCCTTAGACAACATTTTATCCTATTGCCTAGAACTGATTGAATTAGAGGTGATCAGAATTAGAATTGTAGCAAGAGTAAAAGGAGAATACACATGCAGCTTGGACCATAAAATTGATAGCGAGTTAATTTTGTTAGATCACCTTTAATTTATTTGTCTCCTTTATTTACCTTGCCCCTAATGTAAGCCTAAAATGTCACTGGTGAATTAAAAGATGGTAAATTGGGCCCTTCATGGTGGCGCAGCAGGTTAAGGCTTATCACTATAAGGTGATCGTAGCCACTGCAGCACCATTTCAATATCCAATCAGGCAAGTGACTTACATGGAGCCCGCTGCTCACTTCAGCCTTGTATTTCAGTCGATCTGCCTGCTCTGCTCCCCATTCTGTCTCTGGTGAATCCTCTCACCTCCCGCACCTCTGCCTTGTACCCTAGCTCTGATATGTATAAATAAATAAATATTTTAGAAAATAAAAGAAAGATAACGCACCTTACACATTTGTAAGTCTGATTCCCATGCTAGCTCCATATCTACTCCATCTATTGGAGTATAGACCATAGGCATATCTGACAGTTAACTATGGTTGTGTATCTCTGCATTTAGCGAATGTGTGAGATCCTTAGCCAAGGTGCTAGGACTTTATCTGATACTTGAAGTTATTAAGGAGTTAATGTATATATTTTTTAATTTTACATGTATTTTAAATCATTCTTCCTTTTTGTACCGTATATGCTCTCAGGTGTGTCCTCATAAAATTCCCACCACCAATTCATCGATGCATCATAATCCCTTGTGTTTTTCCCTCCCCTGCAGAATGTCTCTGATTTATAGTTGCTTGTTAACTATGTTTTTTTAATTTATTATAATTATTTTTTTCATGATCCCTATTTGGTTCCCCTACACACCTCCTATAAGCATAAACATCTGATGTTTTTCTTTTTCTTTCTGACTTAATTCACTGAGCATAATCCCTTCCAGCTCCATCCATATTGCTGCACATGCATGAGTTTATCTTTTTGATTGCTGAGCAATATTCCATTGTGTGTATATTTTTGATCCAGTCAGGTTTTTAGCCATTTGGGTTGTTTCCGTATCTTACCTATTATAAATAGTGCTACAGTAAACATTGAAGTAATGTTTTTGTGTCCATTGGGTAGATGCTTAATATTTTTTTTGAAGACTATATGTTATAGGTAGAATTTGAGGAACAAACTGACATTTGTGGTTGGTTTTCCTTGGTGGAGTACTAGCTCTGGATAGTTAACTTGCTGGTTGTTTTTCATAACAGGTCTGGTGTCGGTGCACCTGTGATTGGTGAGATCGATGGCGAGTATCGACATGACAGTCGGCGAAATACCTTGGAGTGGTGCCTCCCAGTGATTGATGCCAAAAATAAGAGTGGCAGCCTTGAGTTCAGCATTGCTGGGCAGCCCAATGACTTCTTTCCTGTTCAAGTCTCCTTCATCTCCAAAAAAAATTACTGTAACATACAGGTACCCCATTTTAATAAAGAGCTTACATGGGGAAAGCTATAGGACAGATGCCAGGTAAACAGTAGAATTTGTTGGTCAGAACAAAAAAAGTCATTTTGTCCCCTATGGATCATTTTATGACTCATATGAGCTTGATCAAATTCCTTACCAGTTTTATTTCAGTTTTCCTCTGTCAAAAGAGTAAGGAAATTGCATACAACAGTACCGATTGGATTATTCAGAACTCGAGTTAGTTACCTGTTTTTTTGTAATTGTGTATTTTTTTTTTAAAGATTGATTTATTTATGCATACAGAACTGGGCATAGGCCAGAGGTGCAGGGGTGGTGAGAGGATTCACCAGAGACAGAGTAGGGAGCAGAACAGGCAAATTGATGAAGTACACTGCTGAGAGGTCTGCTGCGCCATGTGGGTCACCTCCCTGCCTGGGGGTGGAACTCTGTGCTGAAGCAACTGTGGCTAGCTTCACAGTGCTGCACACCAACCCGTTGTGCCATCAGGGAGGGCCCATAGTTGTGTATTTTAGAATCCATTTGCCAAAACACCTATAGTTTACTAAAGCCCTTTGTAATACCACTTGATTTGAACCAAGGAATGAAAGAACTTTTTTTGTTTGCAAGGCAAAATAACTATCAAAAGATGTGATTTTAGTACAACTTGTTAGTGTTTGATTTATTTCATATTTTCTCTATGTTAATAAGAGTCAGTTCTTTTGTAAAACTCTGTCCTTAGTCATAAGCAAAATAATGGAAATTTTTGGACTATACAGTTAGATCATTATTTTGAACTTACTGTTTCTCCAGTTTTTGAAATTGTGTTATAAGTACCCACTTTATATTGCCCTCCCCTTTTGATTTGTTGATTTATTTGTTATTCTGATACGATCTTCCAGATAGTCTCTCTTCTAAGTGTTGGGATTTATAATTTCCTCTACTGGATGATTGCAAAGAGCAGCTCATTGGTGTTTTCTCTCTCTCTCCTTCCATGACATCTCATCCTTTGGCACTTAATAGCATAACCCTATCAGTTATTGGGAGCGCATTGTTGAACCTAAGACACTAGATAGAAATATTCCTGTTTGGCTCAACAAAAATAAACAAGCCCATCAAAAAATGGGCAGAAGAGCTAAAAAGACACTTCTCCAAAGAGGAAGTACAGATGGCCAGCAAGCATATGAAAAAATGTTCAGTATCACTTGTAATAAGGGAGATGCAAATTAAAACCACAATAAGATACCATCTCACCCCAGTGAGAATGGCACATCTTCAAACAACTACCAACAACAAATGTTGGCGAGGATGTGGAGAAAAAGGAACTTTCCTGCACTGCTGGTGGGAATGCAAACTAGTACAACCACTATGGAAAACTGTTTGGAGGTTCCTCAAACTGCTAAACATGGAGCTTCCCTACGACCCAGCAACCCCACTCCTAGGTATCTACCCAAAAGACACAAAAACACTGACTCAAAAAGATAACTGCACTCATATTTATTGCTGCTTTATTCACAATTGGAAAGACATGGAAACAACCCAAGTGCCCAAAAGTGGATGACTGGATTAAAAAGGTGGTACATATACACAATGAAATATTACTCAGCAACCAAAAAATAAACATGCCTTTTGCAGCAACTTGGATGGAGTTGGAAAAGATCAGGCTTAGTGAAGTAAGCCAGAAAGAAAAGGAAAAATACCGGATGGTTTCACTCATAGCAGGAGTATAACAGACCAGGCGAGAAAATAATAATAATAATGAACAGCTATATACCAGAGACATTATGGGGTGGACTACTGTATTTTGGGTTAAAATGTTAATTAATTACTCTAATAGAATGTCTATGACCTGAATAGGTTTTATAGGGCAAGAATTGGGTGGCTACTCATTCTAGACCTTTTAATTAAATACTAATGCCATTCTGTCTCATCCCAATAGTTATTTTTTTTTATCTAGAGAACAAATTAATTGTGTTAGTGGGGAAGAATGATGGTGTAAGTTGTAGCTATGAATTCATCTTTTTTAGTATTTCTGAGTTTTTTTTTTTTAAGTATTTCTGAGATTTTAATACTGTTTTTAGTAAAGGAATTTCATCTGTTTCATACTGAGAATCTAGCACCTTGGAGACTCTCTTTCTGATTTACCTTACTCTTTTGTTTGTTTTCCTAGGTTACCAAAGTGACCCAAGTAGATGGAAACAGCCCCGTAAGGTTTTCCACAGAGACCACTTTCCTGGTGGATAAGTATGAAATCCTGTAATACCAAGAAAGAACCGAAAAGGAAAATTTTCAGATTTAATAAAGAAGAAGCCAACAGTGGCCGAAGAGTTTTTTCCAAATCTACAAGCCATTGGAGACCCTTAACTTCTGATACAATGCACGATTCTCTGCGCGCAAGGACCCTCAGTTCACACCCTCAGTGTTTCAGTGTCACAGAGACATTCATTGGCAAAAAAATGACACAAACATGAAGGGAAAGGCTGCTGATTTCTTTGGCAGATTTTATTGGCCAGCAGGAAAACAAGCTCTCCAGAGAATGCCCCAGTTACCAAGCAAGAACCTTCTCTGCCTTCACCTAGTGCTCCTTTACTTTAATCTTAAATACAGTTATATTTTGTACTTACTGCTTTATTTTTTAGACGTTTTCTCTGCAGAAACTTTTAATCTTTCTTATTCCTTTCCTCTATTTTTTTTTTTTTTCTTTCTGTGCATTCAGTCAAACACTAGAGCATTCTGTACAGGCATTGTATTTGTCAGGCACTCCTGGGACACGTAGATTAATCCATGCTTGGATTTTTGGATTATGCAGGTGAACTGTTTTTAAGGGAGATGAGGTCAAGAAATTAAAAGAGAAAGATGTCTTGTATCCTTTTCCTATATTCAGTCATCTTTCCACTCCTCTGCCAAATGGTTTTCCTTTCGGGTCTGTCCCCTTATTGTAGAACAGTACAGTGAATCCTACTTGTGTCAATATTGAGGACGGCTGAGAAACAGTTTTCAAATGGCAAAATCCCCACTTCAATATGTCTGGGAGGAGAATGGTTAAGTTAGGGTTTTCATATCTACAGGTAATCATGTATGCTGCTAGAGCTACTCGGGCCTCCGATTCTCCACATTGTGCATACTTCAGCTAAAACAACATCTCACAATCTTTGTAATCCAGTCACATTCCTCACATTCACCACCTCCCTTTTCCTTGCTGTTCTCAGTTTTTTCTTTTCTAGCAGAGATGAGATTATGATTTTGGAAGCTGTGAGTACGGTGAGTCTCTGCCAATTCCATGAGCTACAAGTTATGAGGGGACTCCTTTCCATCGCCAGGATTTTATCATTAGAAGAGGCAGCTTATTACATTGGTATATAAAGATTACCCATGTAAACACCATTTTCTTCTGCTTGTCTAGCACTTTCTCACCCATATCTGTTTCTTTTTCAAAAATCCTCTTTTCCTTCCATAGCCCTTTTCTACTGAATGTCATCAAGTAGTGGTTGATTCAGCCCCATGGAAAAGATGACATCAGCCAACCCAGAATTGACTTTTAACCCAGTATTGCATTTAGTAGGGTTGGTGCAGTTGCTGCCAGGCCGCGGCACACTGTTGAGGGGAAGAAGCAGATGACAGTAGGTGACCTGCACTTCACCTGGTGGAGAGTACCCACTCTGAACAACTGGTCTTCCCTGCAGTCTATTGTACTTAAAGCAATCACAGATGGCCACGGATGGAATTGTTTGCCAAAGAAATTTCTGGCCTTTCCCTTTACTGCATCAGGGAAGAATCCTTATCTCTTGATTGGTTTCCACATGAGGCTTTTTTGAGGAAGGGGACTGGAACAAGAAATCTGTCATGTAGTTAAGTAGACAAGAAATCTTATTAATCCAGTTTTGTTTGAGAGTTGCTTGTCCATATGATTTTTTAAAAGGTTTAGTTTCACAGAAACCTTTTTTCTGGAATTACTTTTGGGGTAATATTTAAAACGAGAGACATTTTGTAACCCTGTAAAATACCTAGGGAATATAACATTCCAATGTACACAGAAGGCAAATTCTTTAATCAAATAAAGAGTATTATAAAATGAATGTTTACTGGGCTCTTGACTCCGATACTTTGCTGATTCAGAATAATGGGATCTAAGATTAAAAATTAGTAAGTTTTTTTTTTGTTTTAAGAAAATATTCATTGCCTTTTCTTGTATTACAGATATGTGTATTTTTCTACATTTGAACACATAGTTTTTGAATCGATTGTTATTTACATAGTTTTGGACTTTTTGTCAGGGCTGTTGTAGAGTCTGAAAAATGAGACTTAAGCTGTGTGTCCTGCATCTATGTGATCCTGCCTTTCAGGGATAAGGTGCTGCCTGGACCTTTTTAGCTGCAGTGACTTTGGGCAACTTTTTTTTATATCATTTTGTACATTTTTTTTTTCCATCTCAATTGTAATCCCCGCGGGTTTCCCATCACCAAGTCACCCGTGTGCCATCACCATAATCAACTTTGGGCAACTTTTTTTTTTTTTTAAAGATTTATTTATTTGTGCATACAGAACTGGGGTACAGGCCAGAGGCTCAGGGGCGGTGAGAGGCTTCACCAGAGACAGAGTGGGGAGCAGAACAGGCAGATAGAGGAAGTACACTGCTGAGGGGAGCAGCGGGCGGGTCAGGAGAGGTCTGCCGCGCCATGTGGATCTCCTCCGGGGCAGGCGGGAATCGAACTCATGGGGAAGCAGCTTTAGATTCTCAGTGTTGTGCTTTAACCCGCTGCGCCACCAGGGAGGGGACTTTGGGCAACTTTTTAAAGACCTATTTATTTATTTATGCAGGCCAGAGATGCAGGTCATGAGATGATTCACCAAAGACAGTGGGGAGCAGAACAGGCAGACTGACTGAAATACACTGCAGAGGGGAGCAGTGGAAGGGACAGGAGAGGTCTGCTGTGCCTGTGGGTCACCTCCTTGGCCAGGGATGGAACTCGTGCTGCAGTGGCTGCCATAGCCTCATAGTGCTGTGCTTTAACCCGCTGCTGCACCACCAAGAAGGGGCCCCAGTAGCTCAGCTTTTCAGTTGCCTTAGTTTCCTCAAGTAAAAACGGATGCTGGTACTTAATAAGGTTGGGGAAGCATTAAGTAAGTTAAGTAGTAAGTACGTTTACTGTGTTGCCTCTTAACTAATAAAGTCAATAAAGGGCAATTCTTATTGTGACCAAAAAAAGAAATAAAATGAGGTTTCATCTTAATGATAGTTAGAGCTTTTTCTTCCTCATTAGACAAAAAGCTTTGCAGTTTTTAAGGCAGGAACTAAATGGTTACCTAGTTTTGAATCAATGGTTGCCTTGGGAGTTAATTCAAAAAAGGCCTTATTTAGCTTGAAATCTTTTGAGTATCAACACATTGGAAGGCAAATTATTCTCTAATGAATAAACATATTTGGAATTTTAACTGTAACAAGCTTCTTTAAAAAAGCTTATTTTAATAACAAAAGCCAAGATTTTCTATTTATTTTTGCTTAAAAGTAATAGTATCTCGTCTAATGTTGCTGAAGTGTCATTTGGCTCTCAAACTGTAACTTAGTCCAATGAAACACACACCAAGAACCATGCTGCACCTCCCCTCCCCCAACTGGTAGCTAATCCTTCCACAGCATCTTGGCTTCTTGTGAGGGAGTCTTAACAAAATAATTAGATGTGAGTGAGCATTCTGTTTAATGTAGGAGGCTTGTGGTTCCTGCTGCAGCTTAATTCTACATAGTAGAGGTAAGAATTCCACCCCCTCTGTGCTCAGGTGTTCCTTTTTAAAAACATCAGCCATTCATTTTCTCAGTAGTTTGAACCCCAAATGTATCAACCAACCCATGCACCTCTGACAGGAGAAACTGCCTTCCAGTTAATTTACATTAACTAGGATTGGAGAGATTTCCAAGGCTGATAGAGAATAGTCTTTAGAATTTCATATTTGGCAGGGCTTATTAGAAGAAAAACTAACCATGAAGACTAAAGGCTAGTCTTGAGAAGCAACAGCTGTCCCTATTTACAAACCTTTTTTTTAAGATAGTAGTGTTAATTACAGCTAGTGATAGTCAACAAGTCTCAAATGGATGAAAACAAGACCTAGGAAGCTTTGCAGGAATCTCAATAACTCCAAATTGACTCCCCTTTGTCGTATCCGTTTTCTACCTTCATGTCTCTACCTTCATGTCGTCTTCTTTCTCCCTGTGATAAATTTATTTGCAGTTGGCTATGGAGCTTCTTTGAAACTCCTAGAAGATCCACAGGCAGGTTGGTTCTGTGCATTGCTTTTACCAAAGGACAGACAGCATCTCTCCAGGTATTAGTTTGAGAAGCTAGTAACTGGTGTGGAGGCAGGCTTTTAGAAAAGGTAGACTACCTTTCCAAAGCAAGCCGCTGCCTCTCTCTCTCTCAAGGTCAGGTAACCAGGCAGGTTTTAAAGGCTTAGGTACCTTCCTAATCCACCACCGAAAAGTTTTTGCTTTGGTGTTCATAGGGCAGGTGCTAAATGGTTAGTTGGGGCTTAGTTCAATTCTAGAATGTGCTCATAAACACCTTAATGTTGATTACCAAATGGGTTATTTGAAGAAGGCATTACAAATTCATGGCCAAAGAGAAGTGGAAAGAAGTCTTGTTTTTCAGTTTTTTACTCAAATGCAAATAACATGTGTAGGGTAAATGGAATTAATCAGGGCTTTTATGCCATTTGGCCTCTGTTGCTATCACCTGGGGCTTGATTGTGTTGCTGTAGAAGGCTCTTGGGAGCGTGGGCGTGGGGCAGGCATGTCTGATTGTGGACACCTGGAGCATGGGTGTGGCATAATAAGTGTGCACACCTGAGCCTAGAGCCCAGGGACATAGTGACGGCTCTGAGAATGAGTGGTGTGACTACAGAAGAGGCGATCTCTAAGACAACTAGGAAGAGAGTTTCTGCTCCTTTACAGCTGCTAAAGATAGGTTTGAGATATTTCCTAAGTTGGATGCGGTGAGGAGTAACTTGGAGTCATTGCAGCAACCACGCCTATGCTAATGATGCCTGAGTTCAGGACCCAAAGAGGCCAGGAAGAATAGCTCTCTGGGTATGTAGCTATGGGGATCACTTGCTGTACGGAGCAATAATCACCTCTTTCAGGGGCTGGAGGGAATACAACTTGAAGGAGGCACAGAGGTGGGCGATGTGCCTCGGCAAAGGCAGGAGGAGTGTGGAAATCCTCTTGTGACATTCATAGCCAAGTGCAGAGGGCCTTAAAAAATCTTCCACACCCAGCCTTCACCCTCTCCCCCTGCTTCCACTTCGGAAAGTCTGAAGCATGCTTGGAAAGCTGTTTTCTGCTTTCTTCTTCTCTTCCTCCCCCTTTTCTGAGCTCCCAGCTGCTCGACCTCTTGCATAACTGTGAGAGAGCACTCAGTTTTTCTGATGGGCTCCAGATGTGGAGCCGGGTGAGGGTGGAGGGTGGGGGCGGTAGGTCTGTGGTCCCCTGAGAGCTTTAACTGTGGGAACATACGGCCCTGTCACAGCATGAGCAAGGACACATTGCACAGCCTTTATACTGGGCCAGCTGGTCCCTGGGCTAGGACAGAGCAGTTGGGTGCTGTTTAAAAACCCTGTCTCCCCCTCAGCCGCCTCCATGGAAGGCTTGTTTATTCTCTCAAATTCCCTCTGACCAAGACAGTGAAGTGCTGGGGGTGGTGAAATAAGAGTTATGTGAAGTCTCTGAGGTACTCCAGTCTAAGCCCCTTCCCCCAAATGCTGTCTTGACACATAGGATACAACAGTTTGGGTTTCCTTTTTTCTCCTTCTTTTTACCAGAATAGCCTCAAAATTACTATTGTGGCCAGAGTTAAAACTCTCAAGAGTCTCAAGCAGTATGAAAAGAGGAAGAATAAGAGGCTTTCCCCCCACACTCCAAACTCCATTCTGGGGTTTCCTGGTACCCGTAGCCCCTACTGTAGTAGGATCGTTCAATCTTTTTAACTACAGCAAGTCACTGGGGATAATGTCATCCCCTCCCCCTTCCTGTCCACTGCCTGGTGACAGAGCTCCAACCTCCAGCTGTGGGGGCCCCCTGCTATTACTGGCCCTGTCAATGAATGACCAGAGATTCCTGCAGTTCAGCCTCCTGCTGATTCTGAGCAAAAGAGACAGGACACAAACTTAAAGTTACAGAATCAGGATTTGTCCATGTGGAAGAGGATAGATGATTTTTCTGCTACCTGCCCTAGCTTGGAACTTATGCCAGCTTGGGGGGCTTTCTGCCCCCTCCTTTGGGGAGCAAATCTCAGGTGGTCCCTCTAACTGAGGTTAAAGAGGTCAAGTCCAACTGAGTCCACCTCCCTAGGGCCTTGCCAGTCAGTTTCCTGGGGCAAGAGCTGGCTTTGCAAGGTAAGGATCCACTGTCAGCACCAGATTTCCTGGGGAGGGTTGAGACGGGTTAAAGTGCAGCACTAGGAAGCTGTCTGTAGCCACTGCAGCATGAGTTCCATCCCTGGCCAGGGAGCTGACCCACATGGCCCGGCAGACCTCTCCTGTGCCCCTCAGCAGGGTATATCAGTAGATCCACCTGTTCTGTTCCCCACTCTGTCTCTGGTGAATCATTTCACTGCCACACCTAAAATGGTGTGCTCAATGTGTACCTGTAACTTGCTTCCCAATTCCAGTGTGAAACCCAGCAGGTTGTGCAGATGGAGCTCCCTGAGGGAAGATGGTAGCTCCTCTCCGCTTCCCTGAACTCTACAGTTTGCAGGGCACTTGAGCATGCCACCTTAGACCCAGGCTTAGGAAAATCTGGGAGGCCAATGTGCGGGGTTATCGGTACCATTTACAGTTCTTCATGATGGGGCTTGGAATAGGGTGAGGAGCAGGGGTGATCTGGTACCCTCAGTAAATGTTCTGGAGATGTTGAGAGTATGTTGTTGGGGAGTGACTATGAGGGTCACTGGGAATCCAAGAGGGTTCAGGGTCTAAGATTTTAAAAGAAGCGAGAAACCATCAGAAAGCACCCTCTCAGAAGTGCCTTAAAGCCTCGTGGAGGGTGGTCTGGAAGAGTCCGAAGGAGGTGAGAGGGGGAGAGGGGTGTGTGCGCACAAGCTGGTGGTGCTGGTGGAGAACCCCAGCTGCAGAGATGAACAAAGCAGGCGCTGTGCTGGCCAGGGGAGGTGCTGTGGGAAAGGGTGGGTGGGGGGACCTTGGGCTCCAGCCCCACAAGGGCGTCTTCTCTGGCTGGCCAGGCCGACCGGACGGGACGGGGGACGAGGGCGGGGACTGAGGAGGGCGGGACCGCTCGCTCTCCTCCCACTCAGCGGGTTCCTAGGGAAAAGCAACAGTGTCCTGAGTCCACCGCCGCGGCCGCCGAGCCAGCGAAGGGGCCAGTGTCCCCTTCTCCACTATCCCTGCGGGTCGCGCTCTCGGGGCGCTGGCACTGGATAAGGGGAAGGCACAGGGCTGGGCGAGCGCCCTTCATCAGCTCTGGCCTAGGGAGCCGGAAAGAAACCCGTGGGGGACGGAGCGTTGTCCCAGGTGAGTCCGATTAGGGAAAGGGGCTTTCCTGCAAGCCGCCCCCCAGCTGCGCCGCCGCCAGAGGGGGCCCTCGGCTTCTCCCGGGGAGGGACCGGGTCCCGGCCCCTGACAGCGGGCCAACACAGTCTGGGGCTCGTGCACCCGCGCCCCACAGCTGCCTCTGCGGTCAGCGGCGGTCCGGGGAGCTCCGCACCGGGAGGGAGGCTTCAGGGGCGTCTCGCTCCGGCCCTCTGGACGGCGGGGAGGGGACGAAGGCGGGCGCGGAGGCTTGGGTGTCTTGCAGGGACTTCGGGGTGCGTCCAGGTGGGCGGCCTCCCGCAGGACCCAGCGTCTTTGGAGGGCGGGAGGCCGGGCGGGGCTGCTGGGGAGAGTCCCAGGCCGGGCCACGCCCGCGCCATCCGGATTCGGAGCCCGCGCGGAGTTCCCCGACCCCGAGCGGGGGCGGACGAGTCATCGGCGGGGAGAGCGGAGGGGGCCGCCGCGCGGTCACCTCCTCGCCCGCGGAGGCTTCCGGCGGGCGGGCTGGAGCCAGTGGGGGCTCCGCCGGG